AAAAATAACAGCTAATTCAAAATATTAATAAATACTAAAATAGTATATAAATAATACTAAAATAGCACTGCTCTAGAACATTTATTGAGGCCAAATTTAGCATGCAAAAAAAAAAAAAAGTGATGCAAAAAAGATATAACATTTATGTAAAAGTCTTAAAAGTTCAGAAGCATAAGCATAAAATTATAATGAAAAACATTTTTTAATGCAAGAGACCTTGACTAGCATTTTAAGTGGACTTTAGACCCAAGTAAAAAAACCCATGCCATAATTTATTTTATATACATTTATTTCATACTAAGTATGCTTCAAATTCATTAACGTATTTATTGACAATATCACTTAAGACTTATGGATATAAAATTATAATTGTTATTTGGAGTATTTCTTTATTGCACAATGCACTTAATATTAAGCCTAAAATGTGTTTTAATATCACTTTTAATAAGGATTGTATGATATTTAAAGTGTACCTGAAGTATACTTGCAATAGTTCCACTTTAGCATCAGCATAAAATTATAATGAAAACATTTTTTAATGCAAGAGACCTTGACTAGCATTTTAAGTGGACTTTAGACCCAAGTAAAAAAACCCATGCCATAATTTATTTTATATACATTTATTTCATACTAAGTATGCTTCAAATTCATTAACGTATTTATTGACAATATCACTTAAGACTTATGGATATAAAATTATAATTGTTATTTGGAGTATTTCTTTATTGCACAATGCACTTAATATTAAGCCTAAAATGTGTTTTAATATCACTTTTAATAAGGATTGTATGATATTTAAAGTGTACCTGAAGTATACTTGCAATAGTTCCACTTTAGCACAATAAAATATACTCAAGTACTTCTTTAATTGGACTTCAGCACTACTTCCACACAATTAAAGTGCATTAAGCACAAAATTAGTTGTTCCAATTTAGCAAACTTTAAGTATACCAGTTTAGTATACCAAAAGTACAATTGCATGGTATTTTTATTAAGCATGTAAATATGTAAATGTATTTGTAGTATACTTAGCACAAAATAAATGTATTTCAAATACATTTTAGTATATTTTCACTAAAGGAAGAAAGATAAAAAATTCTACACAGGTACAGATTTTGACCCCTATAACTAATACGTGTTTGTGTTTTGTGTGGCAGGTCCAGGACTGAAGAGTCCAGAAGAGAGGACCATCGAGTATCTGGAGGAAGTGGCTGTTGATTTTGCTAAAGGTCTTGCTGGTAAAAAAGTCACAGTGGAAAAGAAGAAAGGACTCGTGCAGAGTAAGACACATTAGTGTCAAGCTACGAAGATAAGACAGACCGTTGACTTGTCTGTTTATTAAAGGCTTTTATTGTTTTAATCTGTTTTTCCAGAGATACAGGATTTTGTAATGGGTCTGCCGCCGGTCAGGAAACAGATCTACAAAACTGTCCACAGTAAAGTCATGAAACAGAGTAAAGGGCTTTATCCCGCGCCACTGAAGATTATAGAGGTAAACGCACACACAAACAGACACACACACATACTCTCACTCGCTCATGAACTCACATGTTTTGGTGTTTTTAGTGTGTTCAGACAGGCATTGAAAAAGGAAACGATGCTGGATATCTGACTGAATCTCAGGTTAGTATCATCAACACCGTAATCACTTGAATTTCAACATCCCTTTCTGAAAGTGGCACCTGCAATAAGATTTCAGGGTTTCACTAAGTTTAACTCTGTAAAGCCTACTGTATCATGTCTGATACACAAATTTCTATAGCCTCTAAATGATCAATATGATCAAACCTTTGCCAAACAAAACCTGTTGCACGCAATCTACTACATGCCTTCTGTCGTCTGATTGACGTTTTATACTTTTAGAGCAAGTAAAAGGCCTTCTAGTTCATTCGGTCAGGTCGTGGTAGTACGGTAAACATAAAAAGCAAACATAAGAATAACTTTAATATTGTTAGTAATATTTCAAGATGAACACTTACTAGACTGAAACAACTTGGGCTTACTTGATTATCCAGACATCATTTTTTATAAAAATCAGTGAGTATCAAATATGATCATCAGGCTTTTGAGGAACGTTTATTTGTTCATTTCTCAATCATCATTGTATTGCATTGCATTATATGTTTTGACACTACAGAGCTTTGATCATAAAACTAAACACTTAAATCTCATTTTACTAAGACATATTATTGGGAGATATAGAGTGACAACTGATATTTCTATGCATTTTTTGCAAGTAGTCTGTTATACTGTAATAAAGATCTCACTGATTTACATTGCAAACATCAGAATTTCATCTTACTTTCTGACCATATAAATATCAGCGTCTGCACCAATTTGCAAATTTCTGCTCCGTTTGGGCCTCTCAATAAAATGTTCCATATTCGTACTGTATCATATAAAATGTGCCCTAAAAGCCTGATGTGTCAAATATGATACTCAATAAAAAACTTATATTTCTTTTTATATTTTATCTAAATGTTCAATAAACTGTTCAGTAAAAAAAAACTGCATATTTGAGCATTTATCAGCTGTCTGACCTCTTGTCTGTTTTTTAGAACTTTGGCAAGCTGACGATGACATCAGAGTCCAGAGCTCTGATTGGCCTTTATCATGGTCAGGTGGCATGCAAAAAGAACCACTTTGGGCAGCCGGAGAGAGAGGTGAAGTAAGTCTGGTAGGAGGGGCTGAGTGATATGATGTCATCAGGATGCAAATGTAATAACTGATAGTGCTTTATATTTATTTTTTTAGAAAGCTGGCTGTCCTGGGAGCGGGGCTTATGGGAGCAGGTATTGCTCAGGTAACGGTAGATAAGGGTGTGGCCACCATCTTAAAAGACACAACAGAGGAAGGACTTGCCAGAGGTCATCAACAGGTGTACAAGGGGTTGGTGTAGCACACCCACAGATAGACATCAACATGATAGAAATATACAGTAGTTTTCCAAACCCACTGGTCTCATTAGCTGCAGGTCATAGTGTAAGACAGCAGAGGGCGCTGCACACCAGGGCATTAGAAAGAAACAATTTAAGCAGAAAGCCAGCACAGATGTCAAGCACTGCGATTTTTGTCCATAAATGACCATGTTGCTCTGTTAAAATCTGAACACACAAATATCAAAATGTCAAACTATTAAAGGTCTCCTCTTAAGATAAGTTTTCCCGCAATCATTGCAAGCCTGGAAATGTCAGGGGTTTTTAATTGTGATTTCCAGGCTTTGAAAAACCATAGAAATTTCTGTTGTGAAAAAAAAAAAACGTTTTACATATATATATATATATATATATATATATATATATTTTTTTT